AGCCTCAAACATGAATCATTTACTAAGGCACACAGCACAGAAAGCATGGCATAGTCATTTCATTGTCTTATTTTTCTCTCGCATAAATCTCATCTTTGTAAAAGGTATGAAACTGGCAGCAAGTCTGACTTTTTTCATGCTCTCTTCCCTGGGTCCCACTATCTGAACTGGAAACATGTCTCCAGTGCAAGAAACAGAGAGTAATCTTTAACTATATTTAGTGTAAGGATGCACACACACGAAAGGTAATTAATGGCATTATGAAGTTACTATTGTCATTAGGAGTAAAACCAACCATCAAAAACAATTACATGGGAATGTTCTGACCATAAATACATCAGAAGGGAGATGAATCACCCCTTAACGGAGCAGAGAAAATATTGCCCACTATCCCCTTACTATTCTCTGCACCAGTTGCTTTGTCTTTGCAGGCGTAAATTCACAGAAATACCTGCGTGGTCACCTTTTAAAATCCAAGTCTGTGATATATGCGAGGTTCCAGTTAAAAGCATTCACTATTTCTTTTCTTTTTCTTTTTAAATCTCACCAATAAGAAGTATTAACAATGGTTGGCTTTACAGGGTTGTAAAGTAGACTTAACACCATTGCATATTTTCTTTAATAAAAAAAATACCCTTTCTCTAAAAAACTTATGAAATGAAATAAAAGTGTTAAAATAAGTTTTAATTCGCCAGGGCCCACCATTGAAACATTATAATGCTATCTCTCCGTTTTTTTTCTATCACATTTTTATTACTTTTATAATCAGAAGGAAAATATTTTGGATTTTACTTTCCTTAAAATCTAGTTAAATCTATCGAAGTTAAAACTGAAAACTCTTGGCCGTAGCACACCCCACGTGAGGAAAGAACACTAGTAGTCTCACCTGGGCTCTGGCGCTAAGCTGCTCATCTGCCCTGGGGAAAGCAGTTAACTTCTCTGCGTGGCCTGTCAAATGTGGGAGTACATGACCTCAAATACACAGGGTCTTTCCTCCCAGCTCCAACAGATATGATTATGAAATGCGAAGTTTCAGAACTTTCCACAGGTCATTCTAGACTGAGGACTCTGGCGGCCTGCTTTTCCCATCTCTGAATTCCCACATAAAAATGGACAGCGCACCTACACAGTACGGCCAAGCCCTTAGAAACAAGGTGTCCATGGAACAACAAAACCCACGCAGGTAGAGACAAACCACCACCATCCACAAGACCTGAATGGTGTCTGTGGGGGCTGAGGCAGAGGGAAGCAACAAGGGTGACAGACCCGAGTCTTGGAAAAGCCCGAAATAACCACTAAGTACACATAGGAGGGTGAAGAGGGCCAACTGGAGAACAGCGGCTAGAGCCGGGAGGGCTTTTGTCGCCTGGAGTGAGGGAGCAAGAGGCCCACAGTAAGATCTGAAGGGACCAAATCAGCTCAACCCTATGAACCTTCAAGACTGATCCCAGGACTCCTCTCCAGGAGGGGGAACTGCTGGGAGTGGGCCAGAACTGAACAGCACGGGGTAACAGAGACAGAGGAAAAACCAGGTCCAGGTAGAACTAGGTGAGGGAGCAGAGCCAGGCAGTGTTGGAAAGCAGACTGCCACAGTTTGACGATATGACAACAGAAGACTCAGCTATTTGAACTTAAAAAAACATTTTAAAAAGCCGTCTTAAACCCTGCTCTCTGGAAGTTCAAGGAAACAATTTTTCATGTAAAAATGAAAAACAAAAGTATTGAGGTTAAATCCCATACAAAAGTTATAAGAAAGAAGAAGAGAGCAGAATAACATCTCTATAAACCATGAAGCATGCCACAGAGTAGATAGGGGGAAAAAAGCCCAAAACAATTGCTTACTATTTCAAAATAAGTTAAAAGACTTTTAGAAAATAAAATGACATAAGACATGAAAGAACATAGTTCATAATTGGAAAACCTCAGAAGGTAATCGAATAGAAAAAAATAGAAAGAAAATAAAAAGTGTATTTCAGAAATAGAGACTAAACTAGGAGGCACACAGGAGGGAACAAACACAAAAAGAGAAATAGAATGTGGAAAACAGGAAGAACAAAGTAAAAAGGGAGAGATGAAAGGATTTGAAATAGTGACCAATACTGAAGAGGGGCAAAGTAAATCTAACATACAAATAACAAGCATCCTTGAAGAAGAAAAAACAAGCATCCTTGCTTTAGCAAGGGAACTGAACTAATATTAAACAATGGAATTTAAAAAAACCCTACCTGAAATTAAAAATATTGATTTAAAAATAAAGTCAAAACAATGCACAGCAAACTTGAGAATGCCAAACCAGAATGACTAAGATTAAAAGTTACTCTAGTAAAGTTATTGGACTTTAAAAAGGAAAAAAAATGCTATAGATGTCTAGAATAAATAAGTGTCTGTGAGAGAAAAGCAAGTTTTATTATTAAGACTTTGAGAGCAACACTCTGCCAAAAGAAAATAAAAAAAACATATTCAAGTAAAGAAAAGATGAGCCACAGGTTTCATATCCATCAAAAATGCCTTTCTTCAAGTATGAAGGGCACAGACATACTGTTATTAATGAGGAAGAACTTGGAGATTACCTCAATGACTCCTGCCTGAGGAATCTCAAAACAGAGGAGTGACATTGGCATGGGACCATGGCAAACGTTAAACATGTGGTTTACTTGCTGAAGACTAAGAGGGCCAGAGTGTAAGATACAATGGCCATGTGGTCAGGCAGCATGGATATAATAGTATGACTGCAAAAACACTGGACAAATTAGGAGAGCATAAGGAAAAAGAAACTTTCTGAAATTCTTCTCAGCAGCTATATTTGTCATGGCAGTGTTAATATTATCCCAAGACTGTTTGCATATAATATGGAATAAAACTAATAAGCGACTATAAAATATTCTAATTCAATTATCTGCTGTAACCTTAAGAACCAGGATTTTTGTTATGAAAAGAAAGAAGATAGAGATAAAATACAGAAGCTAAGAACAAGAACCCTGTAGTCTTCTCTGAGTAACACAGCAAGGATGATATTAAGGGCTGGTTTGGGCTGCCTGATCCTCAACACAAGAAGCAAGGGTAAGGCAGAATTGAATTGGCTTTTACCTTTGGGAAATATGAAACTTGAATAGGGCAATTCAAATATTTTATAATTTAAATAGGAGCAATAACTTCTATGGCATTTTATCTTAAAATTTATACATATACATATAGATAGATAAATATATACATAAATTCCTGGCTGTCTATAAAAACAATTACCTAATTAAGGAAACAACTAGAACAGGAACAGAATCACAGAAATAGAGATCACATGGAGGTTTATCAGCAGGGAGGGAGAAGGGAGAGAATGAGAAGGAAAAGGTACAGGGAATAAGAAGCATAATTGGTAGGTACAAAATAGACAGGGAGGGGGTTAAGAATAGTATAGGAAATGGAGAAGCCAAAGAACTTATATTCATGACCCATGGACATGCACTAAGGGGGGGAGTGCTGGAGGGAAGGGAGGTATAGGGTGGAGGGGGGCAAAGGGGAAAGAAAGGAACAACTGTAATAGCATAATAAAGTATACTTAAGGTAAAAAAAATAATCACTTAGAATCGACAGCACCCTTAGCACCCAAACTGTAGTCTTCAAATACCATTTTTTGCTGAGTAAAACCAGGGCTACTTGTAGCATGGTTAATTTCAGGTTTAGGGCAAAAAATGTACAAGGTGAGCCTGGAAAACTATTAGGCGCACGTTAAAACACTCAGAAGCCAACTTGAAGAGATTCTTACTGACCAAAGACACTATAATTTGAGTTTCTACAAGTAAAATAATTATAATGAATTGAAACCCAAATATGTTTAAATCCATAAATTGATAAAAATATTCTAAAAATAATTAGGTACTTTTAGGGCATAATGGGGAATTAATTCATTATCTGAAAAATGTTAAATAAATGGAAAGAATAAAGCATTTATTTTGCTTTTCCTCTATGAACTATACTACTGTTTCAACAAATCATAGATGATGAATGTTGTCTCTTAAAGGTAATTAATAACTAAGAAAGAATTAATAACCAAGAAAGAATTAATAACCAAAAAAAGAAATGGTATAACTAAAGTATCATGATTTGTAAGTCTTAACGAATAAATGAACTTAGGCATAGAGTATCAAAAGCTGCTAACATCACAGAAAGCAAAACAACTGGACATTACGTGCTTCCCAGTGAAACAAACACCCTCTAACGTCACGCCAAAGGGTCTGGACGTGAATCTGACTGAGCCTCTACATTCAGCTGCCAATCTGCAGGGAACTCGGGGGCAGGGACCATGGTGAATGCACCATGCATGTTCAGTCGGCAGCATCCAGACTGTGGGAAACTATATAGGTCAAGTGGCCCAAATTTAACAGATTAATCATAGAGCAAACACAGAACAGAGGAAAAACCTGTAAATTAAGAGATTCAAAGAAAACAGTTTTGTTTTTTTTAATCCTCACCCGAGGACATTTTTTCATTGCTTTTAGAGAGAGAGAACACTGATATGAGAAAGAAACACTGGTTGGTTGTCTTCTGTAAGCATCCCAGCCAGGCACTGAACCTGCAACACATGTATGTGCCCTGACTGGGAAATGAGCCCACAACCTTTTGGTTAAGGGGAAAGATATGCCCCTTGCTCCAACAACTAGCCACACCACCCAGGGCAAAGAAAACAGTTTTTAAATGGGGAAAACTAAACTTTACTGTCTACGGACATCAGTGGGAAACTAAAGAAACAGGAAACGTGATTATAAAAGTCATGACAGCAGTCACCTTCATGGGAGGGAAGGTGGGATTGGGATGACCGGCAAGTTCTGTTTGTGGGCTGGACAGTGGTTATGAGAATGTTTACTCATTAAGTTATCTTGCATTTTGTGGGCATTTCTGTATCTTCTCTCTCTCTCTCTCTCTCTCTCTCTCTCTCACACACACACACACACACACACACACACACACACACGTACATGTGTTAAAAGTCTTCCCAGATCCCTTACCTGTGCCTTGGCCAACTTCTTTTCCAGAAGGTCCCGTTCCCGTTCCGTTTGCTGCAGGCGTTTATTAAGCTCTGCTATGTCTCCTTTTAGCGATGCCAGGGCTGCCAAATGGAGCTGCAGCAACAGAAAGAAAGGAGTGCAAGGTTAGACTCTTTAGCAGAAACTCATTTCCTTCCTTTCATTCCCTGTAATTAGTGTGATCATATAAAAAATGTCTCATCTCAAATGGGACACCTTGGGTGCTATTAATCTCAAGGGACAAAGGGCATAAATCAGGTGCCTTACAGGAAGCTGGGTTGTATGATCACCCTAAACATAACAAGAGAAAACTGTTCTGTATGGACAGTGAGACCTAATTTTGGATGGTCAAATCAGGGCAGCGTGCAAAGATCCTCATTCTAAGGGCTTTCCCTGAGTTCCTCAGCAAGGATGATAGATATTAAGAGCTGGTGTGGGGCTGCCTGATTTTCAACCTAAGAAGCAAGGATAAGGCAGCGCCAACTTAGCTTTCACCTTTGGAAAAATATGAAAGTTTTATAGGGCAATTCAATTACTCACATTGATGTGTGGATGATAGACAAGGGGCTGAGTTTTAAGAAAAAATGGGAGTGCTCATTTCTTAAGATGGTCTCCTCTTAAAGGTGGCCTGGTAATATCCTTGCCAGCACATTCTTCCCCTCACTGTCCCCTCACCAGACCAGGCTGACCAGATGCTTCTGTGCTAGCAGGCCCTCTCTCAGGAGCAGAAACCAAGCAAGCATCCATCCAGATATCCTTCCCTGGCCAGTTCTCTCACAATAACTGGAGCTAGAAAGAATATTGTTTTTTTAAGCTTTTATTTATTTACTCTTAGAGAGAGGAGAAGGGGGGAGGGAGAAGGAGAGGGGGAGGGAGAAGGAGAAGGAGAAGGGAGAGGGAGGGAGGGAGGGAGAGAGGGAGAGAGAGAGAGAGAGAGAGAGAGAGAGAGAGAAACATCAATGTGAGTACACTGATTGGTTGCTTCTTCATGCCCTCAACTAGGGACCTGGCCCACAACCCAGACACGTGCCCTGACTGGGAATTGAACTGGTGACCTTTTGGTTCGCAGGCCTGTGTTTAATCCACTGAGCCACACCAGCCAAGTCTAGAAAGAATATTTTTGACTGACAGATCTCAAAGCGGATGGGGAGGATTGGAAGAGATGAGCCAAAGAATATATATGCATATATATGCATAACCCACAGACACAGACAAAAATATGAAGGTGGGGGGAGGGGCGGGGCAAAGGGGTAAAAAGGGGGACATTGATAATAGAGTCAACAAGTAAAAAAAAAATGGTTTCTCAAGTGCTCATCTTTCAAGTTCTGAACACTGAGCTTCAGCTGCACGTACACCTACGACATACAGACATGTCTTCTGGGGCTTTTTGGGCCAATGGATGGGACTATCTGTAAGATCCATTCAAAACACTAATCCCAGAGCAATAGCACCTTTCAACCTTTGCTCTCTGAGTCACTACTTCTTATCCATCTCCACTGTCAGTGCCAGGTGGAGCTCAGACCATTCCTTAGCTGGATTCCACATTACGTTTGGGCGACTGACTAGAATCAACAAACCATCCCTCTTTAGAGGTTTTTTTTTTAAAGCTTCTGCCAAGAGGGATTTAAAGTAAGGAGTGAGCAAATAAATGTGATCTTTAAAAAATGGACACAGTACAACAGTATGTAATTCAACTTTGAAGGTTTTAATTTCAGGTTTAGAAAGATGCCCTTTTCTGCAACCTGCTCCACGCACACTGCAAGCTGTTGGCTGGTAGGCTTGAGGGAGGGGCGTGGGAGGGAGGGGGAAGGAGATACAGAGCAGGGACTGGGGTTTCAAAGCAGTTGTTTATGTTAGACTACAACGCAGTGAAAGTGACTTCACTTAATTGCATGGGGGCTGCAAACCAGCAGATCAATAGCTGATGTGAAATCAGGAATGCTTGAAATTTAAAAAGGGAAATGTCAGGCAATCTGGTGGTGTTTGCCTTCTGATGCAGGGCTTGGGCCACTCAGAAAAGGTCACTTTGGGTTTCAGAAACAAGGTTTTTGATGAATTCTCAGCACAAATAGCACAGTGTTCCCATTGTACAATTGTTTTTAGGCTGCTTTGCTTCCCGTGTGGTGGAGGGGGACACAAATTCACTCCCTTAGCAGCCTAGGAACTGCCAGTCTGAGGATTTCCTCTGGCGTCAGGCACTGTGCCCTATTATACCATTATGTCAAGTCTTGGGAGAAGAGTCTCCACCTCACTTCTGGGGACGAGGATAAAATACACAGAGAGCTGAAACATTCGTTAAGAAATAAAGGAGTGGGAAGGAGGACCCTAACCGTGTTAACCTTGTTTCCTCCCTTCTAACATGTCCCCTCCTTCTGGGGGAAGGGTTGCCTGACGGGGTTGGGAAAGAATTAGGCAGAAAAGTTGCCAGAGAAGGCTGTATACTCCACACTGCCCTCACGAACTGGGTCGGATGGGGAGACACCAGAGTAGTTATTTCCATCACGGTGCATGGCAGAGGGGGTCCGGGGGGGGGGGGGTCCTTGCCACTGGGGACAGCACTGGGCTTGGTACGATAGCATCTTCTGGCCTCCTCGGCAGCAAGGCCCATGGGATGAGCATTTGGGGAAAGTCCTTCACTTCCCTGGTTGGAAGATGCTTATTCATAAAGTCAGAGTGGACCAGTTGTTCTTCACCTTCCTTGGGTCACAGATTCTTTAGAATCTCTTAAATATGATGGACCCTTCTACAGAAGAGGATAATTTGGGGTTCATGCATTTGTTCCACCCAATTACAATGATAACACTCTGGAATCTATCTATGAACCCCAAATTAAGAAACACCTGGACTAGATGCCAGCCCTGTGATCCCACCTAAGTTTGCAGGCTGTCTCATACGTCATAACACGGAAGTCTGAGTGAAGAACAGGCCCCGGCACCTGACAGCTCCCACTTCCGCATCTGCAGGTGAGTGGCTGAAACCCGGAGATTAATTTGCTGACTCAGGGTCCCATGGATCTCGTAACACCAGGATCAAGGCCGCCAGTGCCCTTTCCTCACTACACAATGTTGTGCGCACAGTAATTTTCAGGGTTTTTTATGTGGATCACATTTTTACTTAAAATCATTCCCTCTATTAAAAGTGAAACTGTAACAGAAAAATAAACCAGAAGGATAGCATTTTAAAGGTTAGTGGTAGCCTCTGGGTGGTTTCAAACTATTTTTGGATACTAAAGTGTTTTTTTTTTAAAGAAAAAAGTTTTTGTACTAAAGAAACAAAAGAGTTGAAATGGTATTTTCTGCACATTTAAGCTGCAGCATAAAAACTGTAAAGGTTATTTTCCTTCCTCGCTGTATATCTTCTTTCTCATCCATCAGCTTTTCTGAGAAGGTAAAATTTAAAAATGAGGTAGAATATACACATTCCCCCTAATGATGTTACTGACAATTAGCAGAAGCCACAAGAACGGGGGGTGGGGGAAGTTTGCCCACAAGTCACAAGATGTGCAGCTTGGAATCAAGCTAAAGAGTTTGTGGGCGATGCCGCAAGTAGTATGACAGAGCCTGTGCACACAAGTACAGAGGTCTTTCTGCATAATTCTTAAAAGGTGACAATGAGTTTAAATCTCAGAAAGATACATTTACCAAAACAACCAAAATTGACAAATATCTCTAGTATAATAGGAAAATTATATATATATATATATATATATATCATGTTGGGGGGTCTTTTTACTTACATTCTGGTCCTCAGATCTCCAATTTGAGTAAAGCTTTAGATATATGAGTATGAACTATAAATGCCATTAAATGAAGATGTTCCATTGACCAACGAGAAAGAAAATATATGATGTTTGGGGCCTATGCTAGTCTCTTCCCCAACATATTTCTCTCTACAGGCTCAGGAACAAGACTTTGATTTTCAGCTGGGCATACTGCAGCTCAGCTGAAATGTCCTAGTCCTCAGCCTCCCTTGCAGTTGGAGCTAGATGTAGCCATGTGACAAAGTTCTGGCCAGTAAGATGTCATCAGCACTATTATGTGGGAGTTCTGGGAAAACCTTTTTGAAAGAGGTCCTGCCCTTTTTCTCTTCCTCCATTCTTGCCGCTTGGTACATTAATGTGACGGATGGGCTCCAGCCAGCATCTTGCTTCACGAAGATGAGCTCCACCTTCTAGGGAGCTGAAAGGGGTCTGACTCCCTAGTAGCCACCCTACCGCCTTTGGACTGCCTCACTCCAGACTTCTGGGACAGAGCAGGAAGAAACAGACCTCTGCTGTATGGGCCGCACTTATGTGGAGGTACTCTGACAAATGAAGTAGATTTAGTCCTAGTTTATAAAGAACCAGATACACCTGGGCTCAAATGTCATTCATGCCACTTACTGGTGGATTGCTTCCAGATAGTTTATTGAATTACTGTGCTGCAGGACTTATAAAGACAAAACGAGACGGCATCCACAGTGTGATCAGCACGGTGTCTGGAATCAGGGGAGCAATCCTCTTTTCCAGGCCAGTTTTAAGTCAACAAGTTTCACGTCAACAACCTTCTCAGACTAAGTCCCATCAAGGAGGTGAGAGGAGCATCCTGATGAATGAGTAACACGGTCCTGTCTCAGAGCACCTTACTTCCTGGTGGGTGTTGCCCGGACTGAGAGGCCACAGCTGCTTTGCTGGCTTCTACTGAGGTCCTAAGGTTTATCTGAAGGAGATGGCTGGCAAGGCTCTTAATTCTCTGTGAAATATTAACCAGAGGCCTAAGTGAGGCTGGGAAGGGACCTTGACACTTCTGTACAAACCTGGGTCTAGTTCATGAAGGATATAAATCTGAATATGCCTCGTGTCGAGAGGTAAAAGGCATTGATTCCCTAGGCTGTTTTCAGCCCTGCTTCACACTCATTTTACCATGTGTATCCAAATGCAACTAAAGCATCTGGAAATTTGGATGCAAGATAACTGTCAAAATGGTTGTTATTTTTGGAGGAAACATTACTTGTCTAATATTTCATTGTTCAACTGGCTGCGAGGACAAGCTCAGTTGGCCTCTGACAGAAAAAGTGTCCAGCTGCCTGGGGCCCAAGCGAGAAGCTAGCAGTGGCAT